TCAAATAAACCTGTTGGGCTATAAACTGGTGTCATGTGACTCCTGACTTTGGTTACCACATTATTTCTTGATACAGAACTGTGATGTAGAATAATGGAGTTTGAGACAATGCCAGTTTCCAGCAATCTACTCTACAATTCTTAGCACAAATTGTGACAAGGGCTTTGATTTAAGGAAATTAAATTTACTGCAGTAAAAGTCCGTCATTTGTGAAAACCTTTATTCTCTTTTACTTCTGCAGTCACTTTAATGAGAACTGGAAAAATCTGCTCCCCAGGCTGTAGTACATTTGGCTGAAAAGGACTCAGGGATAAGAAAAGACCATCCAATCCAATTTCTCTTTTGAGACATAATCCAATAATTCTACAACTTTTTTCTGTATGATCTGTCAAGTTCCCTTCACAGTCAGTCATTGTTGAATTTGCTGATGTCGTGTTTTCAGAGATGATTAAACGTATTTCTTTGTCATTTCGTCTTAAAGAAGAGTCATATTGGACACAAAACATTAACTTTGTGTCTCTTTCCAGAGATGTTGCCAAACCTGCTGAGTTGTTCCAGACTTTCTGTTTTGATTTCAGATGTCAAATAGACAGTATTTTAATTTTACTGAGATAATCTGGCTTTGGTTTTCTTTCCTTTGGTGCGATAAACCTGTTCTGTTAAAAAAAAATCTCTGTAGTTTCCTTTGAAAAGGAAAACCATTTTTCTCTATAAATTGGCTTATTTCTGCAGGAAGATAATTCCTTAGTTCTCCAATCATCATCTAACTCACAAATTCTGTAAATTATTTTAACTCTGAGTCCTTTCAATTGGGGATTTTCTTTATTTCCATGAAAGTATAAAACTGTAAAGTGATTAATCTACTTCATTACACAGTGTCTAGACTTCAATGTAATCAGGTATTTCTAAATGCTATAGGTCGTCCTAAGGTTGTGAAAGGCGCCATAGAAGTGCAAGAAATGTTTGCATCATCTTTCTAGCTCATCTCATATGTCTGATCTTGGAAGTGCGATCACTGATGATAGGCTGAATAGCTTCCTTTTGTTCCTATGGATACCATGAAACTTGGGGTTATTTGTGTTATGTACTACTACAAGAGTTGGCAATTAGGTGTTTCAAGAAGGTGGGTAGAATAACAATATTTTTGTAAATTGGAGTGGTAAATAAACACTCTCTGAAGTGGAAGAAGAGAAAGACTAAGTTTTCCTTTGTCCACTTTGGTGGAAAGAACAGATCAACATGGCATTTTGTAAATGGTGAGAGATTGGAAAGTGTGGAATTACAAAGGGACCTACGCATCCCCTCTCAAAAGGTTACTGAAGACAGCACCAACATCAGGATCCTCGGCCAGGCCAATATCCCCAGCACCAAGGTACTGACCATCCTTGATTGGCTACAATGGGCTGGGCACGTAGACTGAACGGCCAACATGAGACTCCCAGCTTCAAATCGGCGCGTGAGTCCCAGGTGTACAGAAGAAACACTTCAGTGATAGCCTCAAGGCCTCGCTAGCAAAGTGTGGTATTCCCACAGACGCCTGGGAATCACTGGCCCAAGACTGTCCAAAGTGGAGGAGGTGCATCTGGGAAGGTATCCAGCAACTTGAGACTTGCCAAAGGTAAAAAGCAGAAGGCAGGCGAAAACAGTGAAAAGAGTGCACTGCCGCACCAATGCCACACCCATCTGTGCCATGACCACCTTCTGCACCAAGTGAAACAGAGCATTAGTCTGTACAGCCCACCTACAAACTCACCCTGAGAGGGGAAGAGAGTCATTCTTGTCTGCGAGGGACCGCCAGTGATAATGACCGAACACTGACATGCAGCAATCTATTAGGGAGCCTAATGGAGCGTTAACCTTTAATGCAAGAGGATTTGAGTACAGGAGTAGTGAAGTCTTTCTTCAATTGTACAGGAATGTGGTTGGACTGCACCTGGAGTACTGTATGCAGCTTGGGTCTCCTTATCACAGGAAGCGTGTCACTGCCATAGGAGGGGTACAACAAAGGTTCACCAGACTTGTTCCTGGGATGGCGGGACTGTCCAATGAAGTGAGATTGGTCAAACTGAGCCTTTCAAAGACTTTCAAAGAATGAAAGGTGATCTCATTGAAACCTATGAAATACTTAAAGGATAGACAAGGTGGGAGTAGGTGAGCTGATTCTCCTGGTCAGACAGTCTAGAAACAGGGGACACAAATTTAAAATAATAGGGATGCCATTGAGAACTGATATGCATACATTTGAACTAAAAATTGATATATTTATGATCATCAATGGCATAACTGGTTACGCGGATAGTGTTGGTAAAATACTAAAGTGTTTGATCAGACACGATCGATTCAAATGGTAGAGCAGGCTTAATGAGCTGAATGGCCTACTACTGTTTCTATGTCATACAGAAACTTCTCCTCCTCAGTGTGTCCCAATCACAAAGCCCATTTGAGCAAACCAAACCCATACAACCAGTACATGAACAAAAAGACCAGTTCATCTGTCATCAGTGGTATTAGGGAAGAAATGAAAACTGGTCAGAAAGTCTTGCCCTTTCATAGATGGCACTGATAGCCCGAATCTTTAATGCCACGTGAGCTGGCAAACAGATGGGTTCTCAGTTTAACCTCACTTCTGAGCAAAGGTGCACTCAGCAATACAACACTCAGTCAGTGTTGTAGCAAAGTGTGGGAAAGATCGAGTCCTCTGTTTGCAGTTGAACTCAAAGCATCCTGATTGGGAGGGCAATATGTTACCAACTGAAGCATGCTCAAGAACAAAAATATTTCATAGCAATTCAGGATGCAATATTCTGGGTCATATACAGTGCTTTAATATGACCAGTTAGTATTTCTGCATAATATGCTTAGCACTATTGAAAACTTCAGTAGGAAAACAACTGCAATTAACATCTTTCAAAATATATATTTTCCATTTGAAGAAGATTTACTCTTATTACACACAAAGCTTATGTTGTCCAACTTGAAAATGGTTTTCCTGCCCTCACTTGTGTTTCCACAATGTTCATTCACTTGGTAAGATGTTGTTTCTGACAAATATGATTACAGTAGAAATATATTTGGTACTTACTGCGATTAAGATTTGGGCACTGTGTTATATATCCATTAGGCATCAAGATGATTTTGACATCTTGCAAAATGCCCTATAAGAAAAAACACACAAACAAAACAGGAAAAAATGAGCATAAGTCATAGCATGACACAAATCAAAAACATTAGTATTGATGGAGTTGGAGTCACTTACAAATGGCTGAGATAATTCCCAACAGCCAGATTTTTTTTTGAAGGAATTCATTCCCATTCTCAGTATGAGAGCAATCTCAGCCGCAATCTGCTTGGTTAAGTTGGACAACAGTAATTAGCAGTTCCAACCTCATGGAAAGCCTTCACTTAATTCTCAAGTCAGCAACTGCTGCCTGAATATTGGTTGTAAGATTCCATGTTACAGTTTATTGCATTAATCCACAAGAGCAGACGGCAAATCTCTACCAAATTTCAATCAAGTTTGAGGTGGGTGTTCTCTGTTCACTATGGTGTGTTCCCTCATAAAACAGTCAGAACACAACCATTATGTCAAATGCACAGTGAAAAAGTTAATAATGTTAACGATTGAGTCACTAAATATAGAGTCAGACTCATACAGCATGGAAATAGACCCGTCAGTCCAACCAATCTATGCCAACCATAATTCCAACTAAACTAGTCCCATCTGCCTGCGCTTGGCCCTCTAAACATTTCTTATTCATATACTTGTCTAAATGTTTTTTTAAATGTTGTAACTATACCCACATCCACCACTTCTTCTGGAAGTTCATTCCACACACTAATCACTCTTTGTGTAAATAAAAAAATGCGCCCCATGTCTTTAAGTCTTTCTCCTTTCACCATAAAAAATATGCCTCCTAGTCTTGAAATCCCCCATTCTAGAGAAAAAAAACACCTGCATTCACTTTATCTATACCCCTCATTATTTTATAAACCTCTACAAGGTACCTCTCAATCTCCTACATTCTAGTGAAAAAAGTCCCAGCCTATCCAGCTTTATTTAGAAATTGAGAAGCATTTGCAGATCTGTCCATTCACACTAACAAAGGAGATGCAGTAGGCCATTCAACTCATCTAGGTTGCTCTCCCATTCAATCCTATCATGGCTGATCATCCACTTTCATGCCTTTTCCCACTCTATCCCCACCTACTTTCTATCATTGGTATTTAGAAATACATCAGTCTCTATTTTGAACATTCCCAATGCCCTTGGGGTTTCAGAATTCCAAAGATTGACCACCCTCCTCATTTTGGTCCTACGTGGCTTTCTCCTCCACAAAACAGAGTGACCACAAGCTATTGACAATGACTGTTGTAAGGTATGTCATTGTTATCTGCAGCTGTCACACAAGTTTCAGCAGAAATTTTACCAGCTGCTTGTTGAAGATGATGGAGAGTTGCTCTGCAAAATAAATGTACTGTTTATTTCAATTTTACTACTTCTGCTGCACTTCACAAATCAAGATTAACACCAAACCAGAACAGAGAATCGGGAGCATGATCTGACGATTAGAACCAGAAGGAAAGATGTTAGGAAGCGCTTCTACACAAAGGGTGGGAGAGGTTTGGAACTCTCAGGATCATAGGATCACACAGAACAGAAACAGACTCCTCAGTCCAACTTATCCACACCGAGCAGATATCCTAAACTGACCTAGGCCCATTTGCAATCATTTGGCCCAAATCCCTCTAAACCCTTCCTATTCATATCCCTATCCAGATGCCTTTTAAATGTTGTAGTCATACCCACCTCCGCCACATCCTCTGGCACCTCATTCCCTACACCTTCTGCGTGAAAAAGTTGCCCATTGCTTCCCTTTTAAGTCTTTCCCCTCTACCATCAACCTATGCTGTCTTGTTTTAGACTCCCCTACCCTGGGAAAAATACCTTGTCGATTCACCTTATCTATGCCCCTCATGAATTTATAAACGTCCATAAGGCCACCCCTCAGCCTCCAATGCTCCAGAAAAAATAGCCCCAGTCTACTCAGCCTCTCCCTACAAAATAAATCCTCCAGCCCTGGCAAAATCCTTGTAAATCTTTTCTGCATCCTCTCAAGTTTAACAACATCCTTCCTACAGAAGGACGACCAGAATTATACACAGCATTCTAAAGTTTTAGCAAAGATTTGTAGCTCGGGGCGAGGGGGGACATTGTAGACTTGCTCACCGAGCTGGCTTGTTTTCGTTCAGACGTTTTGGCTAAGTAACATCATCAGTGGAGCCTCCGATGTTGCAATTTTGTTCTACTCTACTTGGAATTTATACTGTCCGGTCCATTACAGTGAGGACTGTCATTTCCGGTTCTGTTCTATATGGGTTTGTATATGAGGTCCAATTCTATATGTTTGCTGATTGCATTATGGATTGAGAACCATGCCTCGAGAAATTTCCATGCGTGTCTATGTATGGCTACATTGTCCCAGTGAAACTGATGGCTTTCATTGTCCAAGTTAACTGATATTAATGAAAGTTCATCGTATCTCTTGTTTTCAGCGGCAGCAGTGCGAGCCAGAGTGCCGACGGGAAGGTAAGGTTGTTTTTTCTCCAGAATAAAAACATACCTTGTGCAGCAGCGGCCTTCTTGTTTTCAGCGGCAGGTGTGTGGAGACAATGCGAGCCAGGAAGGAACTAATATATTCGGGCATTGGCTAAACCCGAAACACTACACATGTAGTGTCTCCCACCCATCCTCCTCCTCTAACCAAAAAAAAAAGACTGTGTGGGGGGTCGGTAAGGTAAGGCTTTTTTTTTATTCTTCTGGAAATCAAGAGGAGAGGGAATGGAAGCTAGGGCAGTTGCATGCTCCTCTTGCAGGATGTGGGAGGTAAGGGTCACTGCTGGTGTCCCCTCTGACTTCACCTGCGAGAAGTGCACCCAACTCCAGCTCCTCAAAAACCGGGTTAGGGAACTGGAGCTGGAGCTAGATGAACTCCGGATCATTCGGGAGGCTGAGGGGGGGATAGAGAGGAGTTACAGGGAGGTGGTCACACCCAAGGTACAGGAAAAAGGTAGCTGGGTGACTGTCAGGAAGGGGAAAGGGAATAGGCAGACAGTGCAGGGATCCCTTGTGGCTGTTCCCCTCAATAATAAGTATACAGTTTTAGATACTGTTGGGGGAGGGGGGAACCTACCAGAGGAAGGCCATAGCAGACAGGTCTCTGGCACTGAGCCTGACCCTGTGGCACAGAAGGGAAGGAGGGAGAATAGGACAGCAATTGTATTGGGAGATTCAACAGACAGGCGGTTCTGTGGACGCGAACGACATGAACGGATGGTATGTTGCCTCCCGGGTGCCTGGTCCGTGATGTCTCGGATCGTGTCTTCAAGATCCTTAAGGGGGAGGGTGAGCAACCAGCAGTCATGGTACGCATCGGTACCAATGACATAGGCAGGAAAAGGACAGAGAATGTGAAAAACGAGTACAGGGAGTTAGGTTGGAAGCTGAAGTCCAGGACAAACAGGGTAGTTATCTCTGGATTACTACCAGTGCCACGTGATAACGAGGTAAGAAATAAGGAGAGAGTGCAGCTACACACGTGGCTACAGGCTGGTGTAGGAGGGAGGGCTTCCATTATGTGGATAATTGGAGCACATTCTGGGGAAGGTGGGACCTGTACAGTAAGGACAGGTTGCACCTGAACCGGAAGGGCACAAATATCCTGGGAGGGAGGTCTGCTCGAGCTATATGGGATGGTTTAAACTAGATTGGCAGGGGTAGAGAACCAGATTTCTAATTCAGAGAATGAGGTATTCAGCCTTCCAACAGACACAACAGGGAGTGAAGTTGTTAATAAAGAAATACGGTCTATGGAGCGTAATTGTGGACACAGAGATGGTTTGAGGTGTTTATACTTCAATGCTAGAAGTATCGGAAATAAGGCGGATGAACTGAGAGCATGGGTCAGTACTTGGAACTACGATGTTATGGCCATTACAGAAACTTGGGTAACTCAGGGACAGGAATGGTTGTTGGATGTTCCGGGATTTAGAGGTTTTAAAAGAAATAGGGAAGGTGGAAAAAGAGGCGGGGGAGTGGCATTGCTAGTCAGGGTGAGTATAGCAGCTACTGAAAGGCAGTTCGAGAATGATATGTCTACAGAGTCAGTTTGGGTTGAGGTCTGGAACAAGAAAGGAGCAGTCACTTTGTTGGGGGTTTTTTTACAGACCCCCTAATAGTTGCAGAGAAGTGGAGAAGCGGATTGGGAGGCAGATACTGGAAAGGTGCAGAAGTCACAGGGTTGTAGTCATGGGTGACTTCAACTTTCCAAATATTGATTGGAAACATTTTAGTTGTAATAGTTTAGATGGAGAGGATTTTGTCCAGTGCGTTCAGGAAGGATTCCTGACACAGTATGTAGATAGCCCAACACGAGGAGAGGCCACTTTGCATTTGATGCTTGGCAATGAACCGAGCCAAGTGTTAGACCTGTTGGTAGGAGAGCATTTTGGCAGTAGCGATTATAACTCTGTTACTTTTACAATAGTCATGGAAAAGGATAGGTACATACAGCTGGGTAAGGTTTATAATTGGGGGAAGGGTAATTATAACTCTGTTGGGCAAGAACTGGGTAACATAAAATGGGAACAGATGCTGTCAGGGAAGAGCACTATTGAAATGTGGAGATTGTTTAAGGAATGCATACTGCGTGTGCTTGATATGTTTGTCCCTTGCAGGCAGGGAAGATGCGGTCAAGTGAGGGAGCCTTGGTTCTCAAGAGAGGTCAAACAACTGGTTAAGAGGAAGAAGGATGCTTATGTAAGGTTGAGGAAACAAGGAACAGAAAAGGCTGTAGAGGGATACAAGTTATCCAGGAAGGAGCTGAAGAAAGGGCTTAGGAGAGCTATAAGGGGGCATGAGAAAACCTTGGCAGATAGGATCAAGAAAAACTCCAAGGCTTTTTACACATACGTGAGGAATAAGAGAATGACCAGAGAAAGGGTAGGGCCGATCAAGGATTGTAAAGGGAATTTGTGGACAGAGCCTAAAGAGATAGGAGAGTTCCTTAATGAATACTTTTCTTCAGTATTCACAACTTAGAGGGACCTAGTTGTAGAGGAGGACAGTGTGAAACAGGCTGGTAGGCTAGAGGAAGTC